CGAGCGCACCAGGCTAAGGACGACACACACATACACACACCAACATGTACACACCACTTGCGACCCGAGCGCGCGCGCGCGTGTCGACACCGACGACGGAGAAGAAGAAGAAGAAGTAAAAGAAGTAGTAGTAGAAGAGATGGAGGAAGAAGAAGAAGAAGAAGAAACACCGGAAAAGCGCGACCCGCCGACACCAGGCACTGCGCGCTAGCGTGTCGGCTAGCTCTCGTAACACGGACGTACCCGAGGATCCCTCTTGGAGAGACTCGTCGAAAACTTCGGGGCGCCCTCGCTCTCTCGCGGACCGTGTCTCTCCGCTGTCGCGCTGCCGAGCGCGCGCGCGCACACGCACCACTCCGCCGTCCGCCCCTTCGCACCCCCTTCATTCGCCACCCCCCTTTCGCAACCCCCGGTCCGCTGCCCGCTTACTCCGTTCTGTCCACCCTCGCGCGCCTTCTATCCTGTGTGTGTTCGAGTTTCTCTCTCGCTCCTTTCTATCTACAATCTTCTTCTCTCTGTCTCACGCGCCCTCGCGCGCGTTCATCCTCCTCTCTCTCCGCTATCAACCCCCGACGCAACCTCCATCTGCCTTCTTCTCTTTCTCTCTCTATCTCTATCTCTCTTCTTCCTTCTCTCTCTCTCTCTCTCGCTTGCTCGCTCTCACCCCCGCGAGGAGAGATTTGCAGGGCGGATTCTTTCCACTCGCGGACGTGAAAGTCGCGCCACCTGCGTCCTCGTCCTTGCGCCCGTGGTGGCGATGCGGTTCCCTTCTCTGGAGGAGGGTACCGATTACGACGGAGATTCGTCCGCTTGACGAACGGCTCGTCGTCGTCGAGCGTGATCATCTTCTTACGATATCCTGCGCTCTCTGTGTTCATCCTAAGCATCTCTCGTTGGCGTAGTGAGCGCGAGTCGTCGACAATGATGACGACTACGACAACTACGGGTTGGGCGTCATCGCGCAGGTCGCCATCTTCGTTCTCGCGCCGCTCCCCGTCCGGGAACGAGCGACGGCTTCGAGCGCTTTCGTCCCCCCGCGACCCTTCCTTTCCGCACCCCCGTATTCTGTGCCCCTCTCCAACCCCTATTCACCCCGCGCAACCCTCCTCGGTCTCCCACCCCCGAGACTGCTCACCCCTTTCCGCTCGCCGCCTCCTTTCCGTCTTCCTTCGCCCTCAGCTCTCTCTCTCTCTCTCTCTGTTTATTCATCTCTCTCTCGCTCGCTCGCTCGCTCTCTCTCTCTCTCTCTCTTTCTCTTTCTCTCTCCCTGTTCTTCCTGCAAATGAGTCCTATCTCTCTCGCGCTTGGAGTTGCACTAAACCCCCCGTCACCCTCTCTCTATTTCTCTACTCCTCTCTCTCTTTCTTTCGTTCTTTCCCCTCGATCTCTCCCTCTACGTGCTTCCGCCTATCCACGACGCATATGGCGCTACACACACGATCACCTTCCGTTCCACGCGAACGCTGATTCTTCTGCCCACCCTGCCACCCTTCCCCCTCCTGCCCCTCCTCCGACACCCGAATCCCGCCTCCGCGGAGAGCTCTTCGCCAGCCTTCGTCTTTTTCCTAGTGACTTCCCCGCGACCCCTTCTCTTCTTCATCATCCCCACGTCTCGTTCATCTCTTTCTCGCTCGCGCCCTCGGTTCGCGCCGACGAACGCGTTGCTCACCGAAAAAAAGAGAAGAGAGAAACCGACCGAGTACGATCCTCGACTCTCGCGCGGCGCAGTATGGATTTGTGCTCGTTCCGAGATTCGAGCGACCGTCCGAACGACCCGAATATATCGGCGGCGGCGGCAGCGGCGGCGGTGGTGGCGGTGGTGGCGGCGGCGGTGATGGTGATGGTGGTGGTGGTGGTGGTGGTGGTGGTGGTAGTGGTGGTGATGATGATGGTGGTGGTGGTGGCGGTGGTGGCGGTGGTGGTGGTGGCAGCGGCGACGGCGACCACGACCACGACCACTCGCCGCGGCGCGCGTTATATACGCTTCGACTTCGATCGGCGTCGACGAGGTCGAGAGGCCGAGTCGAATCGAGAGAGAGTGAGAGAGAAAGACGGAAGGGGGGGAGAACGAGAGAAGAGGAGAGTCAGGAGCCACGGGAGATCGAGTCGCGCACGGCCTGGGTCTGACGACGCATTCGTCTCGACTCGACTCTACTTCCGATAGCGAGGAACGATGATGGTGCCTCGCACCACCTATTTCTCCTTCAGCCTGCTCTCGAACGATAGAGCCGTCGTTGATAGTCTTTCGAGCGTCCGGAAGAATGAGATTCTCGCGGAGCCAGCGCGAACGCGCGCGCACGATATCGCGCTTATCAGTGAAGGAGCATCGCCGATTCGGCGATAATCAACTGAAAATCGCTGGCTTCTAGGAGAGAGTGGCGGTGTTCGAATATTATAGAGAGAGGGAGAGAGAGACGAAAGTTAAGAGAGATAGAGGAAGACTATTATAGATCCTATAATTTCAATATATGTAAAACTTTTTTATACCGAGAAAAAATGTTTGACTTTTGTAACTATATAATCACAGAGAAATAATTATTATAAATTATGATCAAAAGAAAACACCATTTCTTTTATTAAAGCTCCTTATATCTCGCCGGCTATGTCGGATTTGTGACACCACTAGCGAGAAATGACATATTGACAAAAATTGCATGCCATTTCTGAATGAAGATAAATATGGACGAAAGAACATTTGAGATTGCTTGAATATACTTGTAAAATTATCGGAAAAATATCCATTTATCTTGATGATCAATAAATAGTCATATAATAATTGATAAAATGAGTTTGTTTTGTCTGCATGTTTAATTTCACCATTTATTACATAACTATTTACTGATCATCAGAGGAAAGGGATAGTTTTCGGAAAATTTTACAAGTACTTCTTCGTCCGTACTTATCTTTATTTAGAAATAGCATGCAACTTTCGTCAACGTGTTATTCCTCGCTTCACAAATCCAACATGGCCACGGCGAGATACAGGGAATTTAAATATCATTATAACGTTAAATATAATCTTACATGTATATTGCAACTATTATTTATGTTAGAACAATGAAAAATATGGTTAAGGTAAAAAATAATTATAATTTTAGTTAGATCATTCTTTTTCTCAGTATATTTACGTTAGGATAAGACGCGCAATTATTGATTTTAGCCATTGACGCTTTAGGAAAGTCTTTTTCCTTGCGACTAATGGAAATAGATCAGAGTTTGAGTTATAAAGTTCTCTTTTGGAATCCTTAAATGCAGACAAAAAATTTAAATGCAATTCTAGTCGCATGGAGAACTGGTATTTTCTTTTTTTCTTTAATGTATCTGTGACCGAGGGGATGTCAATAATTTGCTGTATTATCTCTTAGTAACTATAACACAGTATTATCGTGTAATGCAAAATGCTATTTGGGGAACGGGTTATTTCTCGCAAAAACGTCCAACAAAAAAATTTGTATCATCATCAAGAACCTTATTCGAAATGGTATCCTTAAAATGATTAAATTTGCCGTGGTTTATTCATTTTCTTTTTTTAATTGGACATCTTCGCATTAAATGATGACGAATAATACATTTCATGTTTCGCTAAGCTTCTTACTCCGTATGAAGTATCTTATACATAAAAAATTGATCAATCGTACATTCACTGTCGCAAAGCTAAAGTAAAAGAGTTGCTGAGTCAAATGTCTACTTACACTTGCTGTATCTGACGATATTGACTGGACGGAAAGCGAAATCATACGCGTACGAGGAGCTGTCCTCGTTTATGTACGCGTCTTTTCGCGAAAACAGCTGCTCCGTCCGGCTATTTAAATTCCGCAGATCAGCTGAGAGAAAGAGTGAGGAGTGAGGAAAGGGTGACACGCTGAGGGATGCAGGAACCGAGATTTAAATGGTAGCTTCCGAGCGCGCTTTCGCAGGGTCATATTATTCTCTCTAATCCTTACGAAGCCTGAAACCGAAATCAATGGCTAAATGCATCTCTAGAGCATTTGAAAAGTCATCCGAATGATGAAAAATATCGTTGAACCCACATAACTTTCTTCAACAACATATACTTTCATTTCAAACCTCATCCATCATCTTTATCATAATTTATCATTTATTATTCGAGGGTACAAAAGTATAATCGAGCATATACCGAGAAGAAAACATTTGTTATTCGTGACTAATACATAATCACATAGAGAAATCAGTTTTACAAATTATGGTCAGAAAAGTCAGTTTTTATTAAATTTTACTATAATATTAGTGATAATTTTGTGTTAAAACCACCAAAAGAACATTTGGTATAAAAAATAATTATAATTTACTTATAGATGAAGCATTTTCTCTCTCAGTGTACGGAGAGGCACGAAACACAAAACTGATGAATTCACGAAGATGTCGAATTAGACTCTCAAAATGCGAACATCTGCAACAAAAGGCAAATAATTCTAGATTGTTATTATTGTCGGACAAGTTGCCGTCTTTCAAGTTCTGATCTTCCGAGACGCGAGATCTCTTCGCGGGAGAAGACTTCAATCTTGACGGACTCAGCACGCGTTGTCCTCTTTGGGACAGCCAGCTCAGAGCGCAGCGTCGAGCTGGCTGTCGCGGTGCGGCTGCACGCACGCTGGGACACACGCGACACCTCATCGGCACAGTTACGTTGCGTACGCGACCCGTATTCTCCCTTGAGTATCTCAAGGTAGAAATGGGGCTTGCGCATGACCGTGAGCGAAGAGAAATTTTCGCGAATCGATAATACGCGACCAGCTGTAGCGATGGGTTAGCCACGCGGACAGCTTGCCCGTCTCGTTGTTGCTCGGTCCATCCGCGGCCAACCCCCGAAAGCACCCCATTCTCCTACGTCCACCTCCTCCTCTACTGCTTCTCCTCTCCTTCTCTTGCCGTTAAAACCTTTTGGCACGCCGCACCGCACACGATTCACGAGAGGAACGATTCATGGTACACGTACTTCGCCGGCGCTCCGAGTACGCCCGTCCCCGTTACATAAGCGATACATCATCTCGAGTATATGTATAAGGTGCCACGGGGTCGTGTATACCAGTGGGATCTGAGAGAAGTTGGGGTCTTGATGCTTTTCGCTCGATGCAAATGCTCGCGAGACGTTTATTCTCCTCTCCCTTTCTTCCCTTCTCCCTCGCGTCGTTCCGCGTCGTTACAACCGCGACGATCCACGGGAAGGCAAGACGAACCCGCGTTCGTCGCGATCGCGATCTCGCAGTCCGCTTATGAAGACTACAGAACCAGAGAGGAGGTGAGGGAGAAGAGGATGGCGAAGGCGGCGGTAGAGGAGAAGGACGATGAGGACTACAACGTGTCGAGAGGCCGACGTGATAGAGGGAGGGAGCACGGGCCGTTAGAGGGTCACATCGGGGTTGCTGCGATAGCGAAGGTGGAGAGGACGACCTCCCTCGATGGCTGTCGGGGGTGGTGGTGGTGGCGGTGGCGACGACAGTGGTAGTGGTGGTAGTGATGGTAGTGGCGGCGGTGAAGTGGTCCGGGGACAGAACTGGTAAAACAGCACAGCCGTCTCTTACTGCCGCGGACGTGTGTACGCGTCTCCAGGCGGCGACAAGGACGCGAACTCCGAGCGGCATTGTGCCGTCACGTGCGGCCACTCCGCGCCGTCCCTTGGCTGCGAAGTGTTCACCCACTAGTGCTCCTTCTGGTCCGACGTGGTCGCGCTACCAATCGTCCTCTTCTGCTTCCTCTCTCCGCCGCTGCTGTCTTCAGGCTCGTCCTCTTGCCTTTCCTCCCTCTCGTCGAGCTCATGGGCGAAGCCCGACTCACTGTTTTTCGCGGGAGGGAGACTTAGTTGACCCATGGTGACGTTTGCGTGGACACGATGCAGCCGAGAGAGGCGTTGGGTTCTAGTTTTCGGTAGGGATAAGCCCCCTGAGGTCGCTGAAATTCTCATCTTCTCTCCGTGGTTTCTTTATTTCGAAGATTTTCCCTCGGACTCTTGTCTTCTTCTTCTTCTCGCTTCCTCGCGACATGTCTGTGTTTTTTCGATTTTCGAAACAATGGCTCTCGGGCCTCGCAATTCCTGCATTTTGTGAGCATTCTTGGACTTCTCAAAGCTGGTCTTGGGGATTGTCGCGTTTCTTCTATGTTCTATGGATTTTATTCGAGCGAACTTGACCTAGGAGTTCGCTGGTTCTATAAATTTTCTAATTCCATCGGTTTCTCTTAGAAAAATCGCCGAATCTGGTATGACATTCCTTCAGATTCTTCTTGGCTTATTTCGTAGCCGATGACATTCCCTGATTCGTAGGTTGCTCGAAAACTTTAGCCTCCTATACTCAGATTGTCCACAAATGCATCACTCCGCGGATCGCTCGTCAGCGAGTGACTAGGAGATGTTAGTCTTATATGGTAGAATAGAAAATATAAATATGTTTTATTTTTATTAGTGTTACATCTATCGTTAAACAATAAGATAATAGCAAATACTTGTGTCCCGATTTGACGATTATAAAAACAAATAAAAATATCTTTCGCGTATCGCGTTTATATAATAGAATCCTCCAATGCTATTTACATATCTTTTTACAATCCTACCACGTTGCCGTCACGCCGTGCGCGTTGATATACTTGATGCGTTCACAAGCATTATTTTCACTTTTCCCAAGAACTGAGTCATATTCGTGTACATGTTTTTAATATACGAGCAACAAAATACGGTTCACCGCTCGATATGTTCTCGCGGCTCTCTTTCATCAACATCTCCATACGAGCAGATCTATCCACTTTGCGATGAGGTAATACAGCCATGAGCGTTAGCGCGGATAGCTGCATTTGATTGAAATAATGTGCTATTGCCTCTCATTAAAACGTGATTTTAGTCCCCGTTGTCTCGTCGCGTTCATTAGAAATCGAATGAAAACGTCATTTATGACAGTAGCGAAATTTACGTGCGACAACTGTCAGCACGTTGTATTGTATCAGCCCATTTCATAAGTACTATTCTACCTTTTATATAAAACGGTCCAGTAGTAATAATAGTAGTAGTAGTAGTAGTAATAGTAGTAGTAGTAGTAGTTCGATAGTATACTTTGGATAACAATAAATCTCCCGTAAAACTTAACACTAAAGATTCAACTTGATCAACTTAGTGTCTAAAGTAATGTAAGTTGCAAGTAATTACATCATTAAAATGTTCACCATCTCGGTGCAATCGTCCACTATCTGCCGCAACTACGAACGATATCTTACGTCCTGCACTGAGAGAAATTCGTGTGTATATTTTTGGTCTCTTGATTGTTATATATTAACAAATAATATTTACACAGAGCCGATATATAGCCAACAAAGTTATTTCCGTCACTCTCTGCGTTATCACCCAGCGCTCGTCACACGCCGTTAACGTAAACCGCTGTAATTGCTGTAAACTAATCGCTTATGCATCCTATATCGTGCTTAACGGCTTGGTAACTAAATGATAAGAACGCAATTTCTTCAATAATTTTTCAATCTCGTGGAGCGCAAATCAAGTAGGCCAAGTGGTCCTTAAAGTTAAATGTACGAAATAATATAAATCATTAAACAGTGAACTAGAGCTCGCAGTCTTACCTACATAATAATTGAAAACGAGTTTTGACCAGGAATTCCGATAAATCGGAGAATAAAGTAACGTCACTGATATCTTTTGATCTCATAAAGAATATGTTGTATAATCAGTTTGCCTTATCAAAGTGTACACTTGTTCATATTTCAAATTTAAATTTAAAAAATGAATGTTTTCCGAACAGTGTCGCGATCACGTAATAAGAAACCAGATCATCATCGATCCCGTGAATATATATATAGTAGTCAGTAGTGTATGCATTATTTGACGCAGGAAAAGAAAAACAATAAAGGATAATATAATATAACGTAAACCCATCAGATATGTGTATATATGTGTGTATGTGTGTGAGTGTGTATACTGGACGCATCAGCGCGAAAGAATATTTGGCATAAAGCAAAGTCATAATATCATTATCTGAGAGAAGTATGGTGACTCGCAGACGTTAAAAATACTACCTACTTTCGGATTATCCATCCTCATTGTATGCCTGTCACTTCTATTAACGTCCACCGACCCGCAAGACACGCACGGTTCGTAACATGCGACGACGACGGTCGCAGACGATGTCAGGCCATTATGTAATGACGTCGTTCCTGCTGGAACCGGCGGCCGGAATTGCGATCGTGCAATCGGAATTCGATGTCGCGGAGTTTAACGAAGCCCTCGTGTTCCGTGCTGGTACGATTTGTACAACAGATGCTGGGTACTCTTGAGCGCCCACGTATAAATTACTATCGCTAACTGAACGTTGTAGTTCCTGTGGCTCGCCTAAATAGATCGAATAAGAGAGAGAAAGAGAAAGTTATATGTATACATATGCATATATACATACATATATATATATATATATATATATATATATATATATATATATATATAGAGAGAGAGAGAGAGAGAGGGAGAGAGAGGTAGAGATGGAAAGAGACACATTGTGAATATTTGTCGCACGCGTACGGCGCATGCGAAAAACGCGAATAGAATTAGCATTGAATCTCACCGTTTATGCTGTGGGTATCGGATACCATAAAAGCGGTGCCACTGGATGGCTCACCGGCGCTAGTACTGACCCTGTCGTCGGTAGCGAAGGATTGCTCGGAATCCGAGCTATTAACGCTAGAGTTACTATCCTGCCTGGTCTGGGTCCTCCTGGCTCTGTTGAAGGGATTCTCCCTCTGTCGCGTAAACGTTCCTCCTTGCGTGCCTGGAAGAATAATTTTTTTTTTATCGTCACGTAACACCACTAAATCGCCAGAAACGTCAATTAGTTTATCGATCCTAGAAGAGAACATTCGCACGCACCATGATGACCGTCGCGAATCAGAGGTGTCGTGTCATCGGCATCTGAATCACTCTCGTCGGTCACTACCTGCTCATCAGCCGTAAAAACCTGTGCGATATGGTAGGAGAGAGTAAGTCTCGATGACTATCGTCAGGATTTATTCTTAACAATCAGTCTTAGAGCGAGAGTCCTCTCTCTAGGTGGCACACAGATCTTACAGTACAACCCCGTACAACGCGGTCAAAAAGGTGCGACAAGCCATATAAAACAGTATCACTCCTGTATAACGCGACATCTAGCATATCTCGCTGTAGTGACGTTAGAGAAAGTGAACGTTTTTTTTTTTACAATAAACAAAATAACTTTGAATTTTATATGAAAGTTTTGTATAACTCGATATCACGTAACGGTATCACCCTCTCCCGCGTTATACAGGTGTCTACTGTAGTGCTACAAACTCTGAGATAGTCCGGAGCATCCGCCAACGAACCTTTCTCTTGCAGACGGGACATACTCTTCGATTTTTTGTCAGCCATGGATCGATGCACTTTGAATGATAAGCTGAAATTTATTAATGCATTATTAGCAACTTGATACTCTGATTAGCTAGAATGAACTATTTTCGTTTCGATAATTCGCTGTTAGTCAAAACGTGCACGTGACGATTATAGTCGGGTTTGGAGTTTCTTACTTTCTAACTTTCGAAATACTTAAATTAGTTTAAATTTTCAAACATTTACAATATAATCGTTACAGAATCATAAGAATCTCACTAGACATCGGCCTCATATTCGCGATTTATGTACAGAGATACGCACCATGTGCACATGGTAAAACTCGTAATTTCTCTCCCTCCACGTAATCGTCCAAGCAAATGGCACACGTCTCATACGGATCACCTTTCGTGTACTTGTGTGTAGGAATCTTCTTTAAACTGGAACTAGGTAGCCTGTGCCGCCGTTGTCGTCTTCTGTCCTTTATGCATCTAACAATCTGCACAGCCCGTAAACCACCGAACCATCGAACGATCAATACGAGAGCTAGGCGAAATATTACGCGATAGATTTTGCGCTCTAATCGCAACTTACCATAAAAATAAGCATGACTAGAAAACATATTCCGACAACAATGGCAAAAGGCAAAAGCAGATGTGTATTAATATTGAACGGCAGATCATCGTTAATCAATACAAAATACTGCTGGTTGTACAAATAATTTTCTTTGAGAACTATTCCCGTAACATCGCTGACAAACACTGACGGTATCGAAATTCCTATTGGATCCTTCGCCGACATCGGTTCTGAAACAAGCGAGATGAATTATCTTTTCGGGATAAAGATTTAAATCTCTCCTTTCTTATCAACACAAAGATAAACGTGGCAATTGAATCATTACAATGATTAACACGCGGCCACTTACCTAATTCATTGCTGTTCACGTTATGTATAATAGCAGCATCGTATCCAGCTTTTTGCGCCATTCGAACTTTTATTTCGAAGCTACAATTGTAACGTCGTATTAAAACTATCCAATTATTATTGTAACTGATATTATTTGGCGGACCCTGTATCTCATGGCACGCATTAGGGGGATCGGAATAGACTACCATGCCCTGGTATAATCACAGAACTGTGAGTGCATGTATATAAACCAAATTTATCATATTGATATATAAAGTCTGTCCTTTTCAACTCGACTAGATTGTACTTTTGGCCATTAAAATCATAAATGTGTATAACCTAGCATTGGAAGGAAAAGGAACAAAGTTCTAGTATAGCGCTACATTCAGAGAAAAAGACATGATGATAGCAGCTATATAGGTGACAACTATAGTCAGACAAGTTTAGTATGAATTAATGTGTATACACACACACACACACACACACACACACACACACACACACACACAAATATATACTGTATTCAAGTATATGTTGCTTGCTTCAATATTTCACAAGTTTATATATCCGCTAATCTATTACAAGTCATAAGCATTAAACTATTCCTAATAGACTTTGAATCCTAATAAATTTAGTATTTCAATCAAGAATAATAAATTAAAATAAAAATTTAGTATGCTAACTACATATGGTCGAATCAACTTTTTCTTCAATAAAGTTTTGCAATATTCTTGTAAGAAAGATAAGTTCCTCTTTTGTGTACACAATGATGAGTTTTCCTAAAATTTATGATATATTTTAAGACTTATGACAAGATATATTTTAAGACTTTAAGACAAGAAAATTGTATCTAGTGAAGATAATCATCACTTTAAATGAAGCAAATTAAGCAAATAATCGTATTTCTCAGCAGTATATTTTATATCTTATATGATATCTTTCTATGTGTAGTCTAATAGGCTACTTTATAATCAGTACAACTAAAGCTGTATGGTTACGAGAGCTATATAGTTCTCTTAATTATTCAGCTTTAGTCACAATACAACTACAAAATAGTTTATCAAACTACATACTTTAATTATACATGCAAAACTTGTACAGTTGTCACTTACACTATTATTTTATAATACAACTATTCTGTAGTTATCGAAACTAAAGCTGGATGATTATGAGAGCTATATAACTCTTGTGATCATTCGGTTTTAATTTTATTAACTATAAAATAGTATATTGAACTATATATATATAGATTATATATATAAAACTTGTGTAGTTACCACTTATGTAGTTGTCGCTACCATGTCTACTCCTCTGAGTTGAGTCAAAAAGAACAGACATGAGAAAACCAGACGAATTGAAGACATACCTTAATTCCATCGGTCGGTATTAAACCTCCAAATCTGGCGGGCATATCTCGAAATTCCTCCTCGATTTGGTGTCTCGCCTCCGCGGAAAACACCAAGATATCCGCGCGGCCATACGCAGCGCACAGAATCAGAAAGAGAAGCCATTGCAGGAGCCGATGGTTCAAACAACACTGTCGCATCTTGTATCGCTCAGAACGTCCACCTTTGCATCAATTTCAATATCGCACACGAGTTCCTCTAGAGTGGCTCATTATACAATCGCCAGATCTACTTCGCGGTTATCGCGGAGGTTGCACCCGTGGTAGACACAAAGTACATTGTACGGAGATCGTAATCGGAGCTGCTACTCTGTAAGAGGCGAGATGCATTGCGCTTTATCTCCGTGTATGACAATGTATTCCGCCGTAAATTCAAGTGATTCTTTATAATGTGCATCAGATAACAGAAATAAACAAACAAGTTAGCCTAATAACTTGTCGGCTCCACGCAATCCCAAAATACCGTCGACACACTTATTCTCTCACATACACAGACTTACCGCGACGTTTACTATGCGACGTCTGACTATTCTCTCTTTCTTTCTCTCTCCCTCTATTTTTCAAGAAAAAGAGAGAGAGAAAGAGAAAGACAAAGCGAATTAATCGCGATGCACGAGTGACTGTGAACAATCGCAATGTGTTTTTCAAGGTCCGCGTCGTTTATTAGCATAACGATGAAAACCTCAGCTGATAGCAGCGGTTAATCCGGCGCCGAGAAAGAAAAGAAGAGACAGACAGACCATGGAATATGTAGCAACACCTGTTGTCATCGATAAGGAAGAAGGTTTCCTTCCTTGACTCACCTCGGAGAGTCGACGGGTGTGGGCTCTTGTCTCTCTCTCTCTCTCTCTCTCTCTCTCTCTCTCTCTCTCTTTCTCTCTCTCTCTCTATCTCTATCTGCTTGAACGAGACACTGACTCTCACTAATTAATGTAACGAGTGAGCTAGCGTGACGCGCGCGCTGCCATATCGCGTGCGTGTATTCACGCGGAACGCAATGTTCTTCGTAGCTGTTTGACGGTTCTTATCGCGGCGATATACGGCTGATTGTCGGCCTACGGTGTTATGCGACGATATATTACACGGAGACTCGGACTCGCGTAATTTCGGCGCGACTCCCATATTCGCCCTCTCGCTCGTTCACTCATTCGCGCAAATAACAACATCGATACATACCGCCGAGAGCATTTGCGACTCTCGATTCACACGCGACCATTAGTCACACCGTGTCGCGTACGCTCTTTAGCCGGCCATTAATAAGCCAACGAGGCTGAACTCTTCGAAGATCGTTGCTCCTTCCACCATTCGCGCGGACGAGCCCGATATTCGCGGACTCGCGACTTCGGAAGACGATGCTTGCCGGATGTGCTTCTTCCGCGTGATATGATCGCTCGCGTCACCACGATACGGTCGACAGCAGCCACATTCACGACGTTCAAGCCGTTACGACCGTGTCTGAACTTTTTTCGAGGTTAGGTGCGTCTTACATTTGGATGCCGACCGCTGCGCTCATGGCTGAACAAATTCCCGTGATATTGACGATGAATGTGTCGATACACGACGCGAGTGATGATCAGTGCGTCACTGGAGTCGCACGCGACGTTCACGAGGACAAATTACGTGATAAACTCTCCGCGTTGAGCTGTCAGCTGTAGAACTTTAACACGCGGGAAGTGCGTAGACGCGATTGAGACGACGAACATGCGCACACGGTGTCCATTTAATTTTTAAATGGCTCGATATTTAAACGTGATTAGAGCGGACTAGAGAAGTTTTTCAAGTTTTCCAACAGTTTAAAACATTGCAAATTCAAGTGAAACATAGTGTGACACGCGAAATATTTAAACAATTTGAATAAGTTCCGCAACTTTATAGTTTTTGTATCTTATAAAATATAATTTTCATATTATTTGAATGTATAATTTTATCTTTTGGTAAGATAAAATTTTATACGACTATTATAACACACGTATATACGATTATTATGTAATTTTACCTTATGAAAAGATAAGCTTACTGTAATTTTAATATAATTATGAGATATGATTTTATCTTTTTATATAACATTTATAAGATCAATTCTATATTTTTACAAGATGAAATTATACTTTAAAATTATATTAAAATATTATACCCCTTTTATCTCTTTTTATGAGATAAATTTATAATAATAGTTATATACGTTATAATCGTACGACTTTATCTTAAAAACATAAAATTATCATATATGTTTGGAATAGTTCTTACACATTTAATATAGTACTTCAGCCGATTTACACTTTAAAGGGAAAGGTGGGTAGAGACGATTTTAATTGACACATTCGACCTTTATGTATCGAAATGCAATTAAGTATGCATAATTTCGTTGAGAAATTACGGTCAAATATTGCATGGTACAAATCTTAATGATACAATTTATCTTGTTTAATGCGACGTAAAAGCGCAAGCGATATTAGTAATATCACTTAATCTCGTGTTTGAAAGTATCATGATCACGTAATCACTCGCATTCACAATAACTACGTATTTCGAGGTACGTACGTGTGTACATCTGTGCTAAGTATTTTACACTATTTTGTACTTGTCTCGCTTAGAAAATCGTGCGACGAACGAATACAATAAGCGGCGTGTCTACTTAACACTCGCGCGTGCGTGCAAGCGCACGCGGAAATTGGCCGTACGATCCATCGTTGTTACTATCATCATTACAATTCTATCAGTTTGTTCTTAAGATATAATTACAAGAACAATTCTATATACATCGTGTCGACGTATGTATAACGAACGCTATTTATAAAAGACACTGTCATGTCTGAACCGTGACACACATACGTCGTTGTGCCGTATTACGAAATAAAGCTTTTTATAGGAAAGAAATAACGAAGTTACGAAAGATTCCTCTAAAACAATATGCTTGGCTCGTACCCAACGCATACGTATTTGAGTAAATTTACATTACGTTAGTACACAGGAAAAATAATTCCGTTAGTATGACTTTTCTCTCACTTGGGAGCCAGATACAAAACTCAGTTGTGAGAACAGAAAAATTCCTACGTAACTACTTGCCTCTCAGTTATCTCAGCCGAATTTTAATTGCAGCTGGATGTTCAGACAAATGTTTTCAGTCACAGTAACAGAGATACCATTTCTCGTCGGGGAATCTTTCATCTGGCCCCCGAACTGAAATTTTTCTTTCCTGTAAATTGATTATGACTTCGCACTCTTTTATGAAAGGCTGCGACGATAAGAGAAAACGCCGCACATTCCGCGGAAATAAAATAAAAAACTCAGCCGCTCCGTGCGACTGAACTCGCCGATCGATAAATAAAACTTCGCGAAAGCGTCAGTCCGCGTGATCAATATGCATTGTGTTAAATTATATAGATCACGATAAAAAAGTACGAATGTAACTAGGCTAAAGTACGTATTTCACCCGCTCTCTAAGAACCACTTTCATCCGCTTAAGCTAACCGTTTCAGTAACTTTGCAGGATTTCAACTAAAATAGCTATTGAAAAAAAATGGAAAGTAAAGAATTATAAGTATGAGTTGATAACGCTACTGTTAAATATGAAAGTACACGTCCTAATATCCTAATAGAAAATTTGACGTGCATTTTTATGCTTACTTTATTGTAGCGTTACTCTAATCCATATTTGTAACTTCTCATTTTTTTCTCCAATAGCAGCTAAGATGGAATCCTGCAAGATCACTAAAGCAGTTAGTTTAACCAGAGCTTGGCAAAAGTGACCCAAAAACATTTACTTAAGATTCTTTACTTATTAAATAAAGATATCGGATAAAGATATCGGAACTCGCTCAATTCAAGGCACCAATCTGTACGATGTCGAATGTCGATTCGACATCCGCCAATTTTTGAATGCGTTCAATCGAGAACTTCACTCCGCGATTAGCAAATATCCCATCGTAACTGTAGTCCCGTTCACGTGGCACAAGTTTAGATTTGTCCGCGCGAGAATCTATCGTCGAGCATTCGCGCTTTCATGAAGATAGTCTTCTTCTGTGCCTGATCGAATCGATTGACTTGCAGATCGATGTCTCTGTCGAACGGCCTTCTGGTTGAACTTCCGCTCAGCTTCGCCTCCTTCTCTTCTTGCTGAAAAGTGAAATCGTATGTACTTCTCGGTTTGATCAACGAACGTATGAAGACAAATGCACGGAAATTAATTATATATTAATTTATTTATTTATAGAATTTAATAAAAGAAAGAAAAAACGGAATATAATTTATGGAAATATCTCCTAAAGAAATATTTCCCATTTAAAGAAATATTAATAGTAGTATAATATTAATATTAATATACTGACAAGTAAACCTACCCAAAAGGTACACTCCGATTTCTTTTTGATTTGGCACAAATCTAGAAGTACAGAAAATATTTAGGTCATGTTTTTTCATATTGGTCCATTTTGAGTTTCACAAGCAGTTTATATTCAATGTTCTTTCTCACTCTTATCATCAACAAGTACAACAAAAATGCATAAGAAATAAAATTGAATACAAGATATAGTTAAATAATTTTAACAAAATCGGCATAATTGAGACACGAACCATTTTAAATTTCTTTAGCCGAGATTCCAACCGAAATATTTCAAATCTGTGCTAAATTAGTCAAAAATGGTTTGAATCTTGGCCAAACTGAGAAATTATTTATATAAATAATTTTTGTTAACTTTTTATGTTTTGTTTAAACATTTTATTATTTATACAAATAATTTTATATATTTGACTTCATATTCATAATCAGCAAACCAAAAACGTCTATATCTTGTATTCAATTTTATTTTTTATGCATTTTTATTGTACTTGTTGATGATAGGAGTGAGAACATTAAAAAGCTGCTAGTGAAACTCAAAGTAGATCAAAATGAAAAAAATATGACCTAAATATTTTTTGTACTTCTACATTTGTACCAAATTAGAAAGAAATTGGAGTGTAACTTTTGAGTAGATTTACTTGTGAGATACATTCAATTATATATCAGACAATATCGGAAAACGCTAATAGAGTTTTGAAATATATCAAGAGATTCAGAAAAAAAAAAAAAAAAAAAAAAAAAA